ATACCCACCGCCGGTGAGACATCTGGCGGACGGGAGGGGAACTAACACTTCTCCAACCGAGTCCAATCGAAACGAATGCCTCGTTGACGACTGACTGGTACTGAGAGCATTGGGAAATCGCTTCACTTTTGGGCTGCGGACCCTGTGATCCCTTGTGACTCAAATTGCAGCCCTACATCGAACACGTTCCGATCAATCACAAAAAGTTAATGATGGGCGATATAAATCTCCTTCGGCTGGACAGGGTTTATTATTTCCCCCGTACTGACCGTGACCCTCCCCCCACAGCGGGCCGCGCGTGCAACTACAAGCCCCGTTCAGGTATCGATATGGCGGACAAGGTGGCCACCTTTGAGGAGTACGCCCAGACCCTGGAGGTGAAGTGCCAGCCCGGCCAGCCCGCCCGGCTGGTGTGGACCGTGCAGGCCGACACTCCGGAAACCGTCTATTATCAGGTGAGCTCGAGAGGTGGTGTATGGCACGGGGGGAGAAGGCGCTTGGGTACCTGTGATAAGGGTGAAGGTTTTGTTCTGTTTGTCTTGCTGATGGCTGTGTATTGATGTTCTTGGTTGTGCTGCCGGGGCATAAAATGTGCTATGACTAGTGAGCGTCCTAAGAAAAACAGCATAAGCCTTTTCTTTTCGACAGTCGTACCATCACTACCAAAGCACTTGCATCAGTTGCGCTGTGATGTAGGTATTGAGTTTGTCGAAGCAGCGTCTCACACCACCCCCTTTCGGTCAATCCACAGTGCTACACGCACCGTAACCTGGGCTGGAAGATCCACGTGCTCGACCCTGAGGAGTCGCTTCAGGAGCGTCAGCAGGATGACAACAATGACGCGGCCACCGCGCGGCCCGTGCTCGTCTCACTGCTGGCGGCGGCGCTGGCCGCTCTCCTGGCCGGGTGGTGATGGAACTGGGAGCGACAACCGACCCGGCCGGCTCTGTGGTGACGTCACTGGTGGACAGCCATAGTGTGGTATGACGTCACTGGTGGACAGAGATGGCTGTGTGACGTAATCGGAGGACAAGGACAGCACGGTACAGGTGTGGACAGAAGGGTTTGTGATGTGCCACCAGACTGGGGTGATTAGAAACTGTGGTACGAGGTGAGGGAAGCGATAGGGTCAACAGTCACTGCGATGGCGTGGTGTGAACTGTGCTCTAAACACGCTGGACTGTGGCGCGTTCAGTAGGGCAAGGCTTCATCAGAACGGAGAGAGTTTCGATCTGGACCACTGGTGACACCGCACAGGACAGAAGAGGACAGGAGAGCTGCCATGGTCACCACGGCATCCTGTCATCAGTCGACGTAACTCTGTGACGTCACGATTACGTCATCGGAGACCGAAGGACTGGAGACATCCCGAGGAACAATCACGTGGTATTTATACAATGTGGCTTGCTCTGTGGTATGACAAGCGAGCGATGAACCCGCGAATGTATGCGTGTGTTTGTGCGATTTTTGCAACAGTCTCGTCGATCACGTCGTAAATGTGAAAGCAGGTCTCTTGGCTTGCATATGGTCACAGTCTCGTCGAATCCACGTGCTTTTATGACGCAGTTTAGAGTATATGAGCGCTGGTTGCGCAAATAGGTCGTTCGGGTATGAGTGAACCATGCCCCATTGGGGGTATGTCTGTCGTTACCGACTCGTCGAATTCATGTGCTTTTATGATGTAAACGGATAGGTCGTGACGTGCTTTTAACGCGTGTATTATGGCTTGTATGGCCAACTGCGGGCTCATCCAACTCGTCGAAAAAGCCGTGATTGTATAGCAGTTAATCAACTGAACACGTCAAATCGCTACTCCAGCCTCGTCTGTGTGCTGGGTCCTGCATTCAGTGAACGTTCCAACTCGTCGAATACCTGTGCTTTTACTACGCTACATCACAGTGGTGGTGAGTGTTAAAACTGGCCCGCAGGCCCTGGCCGGGATCAGAAGCTCGTCGAACTATTGTGCTCTTACGTGGCTCGTAGCTCGCAGTGCGCCGTATAAATATTCCGATGAACGCTAGAGAAATGTGCGTCCCAAGCGCCGCCGTAGCGATCAGCCAGTCTCGTCGAAATGAATGTGCTTTAATTGATCGCTCGTCTTGGAACAGTGCGCGCATTCTCGAGCAGTGTACATATCGGCGCTGGGGTTTTCGAGTCGTATTTATTATTGCCGAGCGACTGACTGCCCGAGCGTGTTGACTGCTAGATAGTATGGTCGAAACGCGTCTGATTCACTGTGCCACGGTAGCGTACGGCAGATGCTGCGTTTTGATCACGGTCTTCATTTCAGCCAATCACCGCAGAGTCACCGGCCGCAGTCAGAAAGGTTCGGTGCGAGATCCGCTTCAGTTCGCTTCTCACCACACTGGGCAAGTGGCGCCCGGGTCCAGACAAGGCCGTGTGATCTTACAAAGGCCGGATGACTACAGTCAGGTCATACGACCTGGTCAAATCCATACCCTGACAAAGGTCATCAGGTCCGGCAAAGGTCAGACCTGGCAAAGGTCCGATGACCCGGCTCTAGCCCAGCTGCCCGGCTGTTGCACGGTTCGTCCCCTGGTTGGTCGCGGTTTTCAGAGGACAGGTGTGTCGGCGTCATGCCAGGGAGATGCTGCATCGTAACCAAACCCATATCCTTACGCTCACGTGCGTCAAAACTAGTTGTTCTTGTCCGGGGCTGCCCATTTCAACCATATCTGATCGAGAATGCGGCGTGGACACGAGTTTTGCGGTTACGGCACCCTCGCTCGTCGACGTTTTATTCGATCATTTTGTACCAAAATAAATATTGATTGTATCTTAAGTGTGGTTTGAAAGGTGCAATGGTGGTGGCCTGAGAGTAAATACGCAGCTGTTAGTGGACGCGCGGGTTTGAGGGCGGAAACAGGGTCCTGGCTTTGGAGTATTCGGTAAGGCGCTTGTCCGAGGGTCGGAGGTCCCGGGTTCAATGCCCGAGGCCGCCCAGCCCCCGGGTGCCTCCCTGGCTACACCGCCAGAGGCAGGGTAGGCTCTGGTAATTGTCGAGACCTCAGTGAGGGAGGAGAGGACTGCTTGTGGTCGGGTCTGTGTAGCATGACGCGGCGAATCGAATGAACGAACTAACCGTGACCACTATAGGCGAACACTTAAATACACTTAGAACAAAAAATAGCACAGTTTCGAGACCAATAATGCGGTAGCACGACACAAATCCGAGTAACCACTAACCAGCAAACATAATTACGTAATAGGTAACTAGATTACCTCTAAACATTGTAAGCCCCACGGACACTAGTCTTAGAACAATCTCAGCTAAAAAGGACGAAGCTTTAGGCTCGCATATGTGCATGCTTCTTCAGATTCTGATTCTGCTGATTGCAATGGCTATGCTCGTAATGGCTTGAAGCTTGGACATTTAATTTACAATATGAGATGTTAACGAAACAGACATTAGCAACGCGTTAATAGGTATATTACAAAAAAACTGCACTTATTTCGCTGATAAAAGCCCAAAATACGATAAAATTGACAGTGAACCGCATTATCTTACAGCATACTGTACAATTGAAAAATATACTCAGCAGTATCACTACGCCGCATCTATCCTCTTTTGAACACAGAATAGCAGTATGTTTCCAGTCCACGCCATATAGCCGTCCTATTTGCAGCACCAAACCGATCTCACAAAACAAGATATTACCATAGACAACCTCTCCAGAGCAGGATTAAGAGGACGGTCGTATGGCGCTGAGCAATCGCATCCACAGCAAGAGGACACGAGCGATAAAAAACAAGAGCATAAACACAGCGGCCCACTTCACATCTAGCAGTCCCCCACAAAATACGGTACCGGGTCACCGTCCGATCCGTGCGGGGCCGCCCTCCCTCACACGGTTCGTCGGAAGGTCATCTCAGGCTCAAAACAAACGATATATACCATTCGAAAGCTGACGGTGAGCTGAATCCAAAAATGTATTTTTTTATCAAAATCGATCGATGGCCTTTTTTGAAAATTGCGTTTTTGTAAAAACTTAATAATATTTTATTCAACGGGCTGTCCCAGACATTCTTGAAAAGATAAACATGTATTTTTGAGCTCCAGTGAAAGCTGAACGCCAAAAGAACAATATTTAGTGAAGCAATATTTCCAAACATTAATATGCGTCTCCCACAGCTGACAATAAGGCGCAATCACACAGCTCAGTGTCACGATGGACCAAAGTCAGCCACACAGAAGCTTGAAATGACCCTTATCGACTCGCAGACCCGGCGCTCTCGGCCCGCCTGACCGGCCACGGAAAGAACGTTCGGCTCTCGTTCTACTAAACAAATGTCATATTTGTCAGTTTAACTGTACACATCGCTATTAAAGTTATTCAGGATACCTGTGAAGAAAATTCATTGTACTGTCATCTTCACATCATGCATTAATTTGCATTTGTTCATGTCTACTTTGCTCAATTGAGCTTGGTATCATGCCCATTTAAGGAAAATTGGCCGCGCTGAAATGTCAAAGGTTGCACCGGCCTCAGCTCGGGTGGAGTGGGGGTAGCGCCCGGCGGGGCAGGGTAACCTTTGACCGGTCGCACGGCCGAGCAGCTGTCACCAGTACAGCCTCTGACAGTGAAACCCCGCTCACTTCCCCTGCGCGGGCACTGATCGCAGCTGGATGGAACAAAACATGTATAAGAAAAAATGTAAATTAAAGCATGTTGTAAATCAAGCAGAACAATGAATTTTCTTTACAGGTATCCTGAATAATTTTAATAGCGATGTGGACAGTTAAAGTGACAAATATGACATTTGTTTAGTAGAACGAGAGCCGAACGTTCTTTCCGTGGCCGGTCAGGCGGGCCGAGAGCGCCGGGTCTGCGAGTCGATAAGGGTCATTTCACGCTTCTGTGTGGCTGACTTTGGTCCATCGTGACACTGAGCTGTGTGATTGCGCCTTATTGTCGGCTGTGGGAGACGCATATTAATGTTAGGAAATATTGCTTCGCTAAATATTGTTTTTTTTTTTTGCGTTCAGCTTTCACAGGAATTCGAAAAAACATGTTTATTTTTTCAAGAATGCTCGGGTTGATTAAAAAATTATAGTTTTTAAACGCAATTTTCAAAAAAGGCCATCGATCGATTATGATAAAAAATACAATTTTGGATTCAGCTCACCGTCAGCCTTCGAATCATATATACCGTTTGTTTTGAGCCTGAGATGACCTTCCGACGAACCGTGCTCAGCCGGACCCAGGCCCGCCCGACCCGCGCCGCTGCCCTCCCTGTAGTGACCGTCCGGTCAGCGGGCACTCACCCTCCCACTCTGACGGGCGCGGCGGCTGCTCAGCGCTCGCACCAGTCGCCGCACAGCGCCTCCACCAGCTGCGTGGCGCTGCCGAAGTCGTTGACCAGCTGCCGCAGCTGGTGCAGCCGGCGCAGCTGCTGCCGGTGCCGCCGGGAGCCGGCGCCCTCGTAGGCGCAGCCGGCGCACAGTTTGTCGGCCAGGTAGTACAGCCACTGGATGTTGGTGACCGGGCAGTGCTGCCGCCACCGGTCGCTGCACGGGGACACCAGATTGTCGGGTTGTTATCACGTGGAAGACGGACGGCAGCCGTACTAACAATGGGGAAAAGTGGCGACAAGAGGGATTATCTACTGAATCGCATCGGGTCAGGTCATTCAGCAATAAAGTCGCGACTTGGTATCTTTACAATGTGATAAAATAAAGACACCATCTGCAGACATGAAACCTACTCATAGCAAATGAAAGTTGTATTTCTGACTAGCTCAATCCAGAGTGAAATGCTATAATAGCATACAAAGATGGTTAACAAACGTTTTAAAACTCAATCCACCATGAATGACTAACGATCGCTTCGATATACAAAATCAGGGAGGATAAGGCGCGGCACAAGCCACATTCCTCCCAGCTACCTCCCCTTCTCAGCGCTGTCATCCCCCTTCCCCTCCACCAGAACACCCCCAGACCACTTCCCAGCGGGTCACTCACTCCGTGGCTGTCCTCATCTGGCGGTAGACCTCGAACTGATGGTCCCCGTGCGCATTAAACAGCGTCGGGTCCTCTGCCAGGTTGTTGTAGACCACGGCGCCGTCGGCGCGCAGCCGCGACAGAGTAAAGTCGATGATGGTCGCTCGGAGTCCGGCCGTGGGCAGACGGTACCGGCGGCCACCCAGCAGGCCCGGGAGGTGGTCAGTGTCCTCCTCTCGGAGCAGCACGTTACCCCAGTGGAGGTCACGGTGTTCGAACTCGAGCGCCGCCTCACCCACGGCCAGACTGAAGGCCACCTGACGACAGAGTGGACGCGTGGTGAGCGATCAGGGGCAAGGCAGATGGCGACGAGTGCTGTCACACAATCTGGTATGCGGATGGCTGTGTGTGCGTTGGGGTTAAGGGGCGACTCAACTCGGGAGGTTATATGGCGCCCATAACGACTGATTTACATCGCTGTTATTGAGGATAAGCGGATGGCTGTGAAACTTGACGTGCTAGTACGATTACAGCGGGGGTTTATTACACACAGTTTGTATAAAAAGTGGCAAGATGAGCTGAAGAGCATGACATGCACCCAACATTTTCCTAACAAAACCAGCCAGCCTTATATTCACAATGCTAATTTGAAAAAGCAGCACAACTGTCTGACACGATGCACAATGAAATACTTATTGGTGCATCTGACCCAGCAAGAGCTCAAAACAGTCTGACATGCCCTTCGGGCGTCACCATGTAGCCATAACAGCCAGAGCAACTCTTGACAGGTCCTATCCACTCCCCGGACCACGACAGCAGTTAAGGCCTGGCTACACTATGAGTTTTCTGAGTGTTTTTTTTTTGCGGATTTGCGGGTTTGCAAATCGTTCTAGAAAAATAAACAATATTAGGTTTTTGTGATGTTTTTATATTCAATTTTAGTTAATATAAGTTATATTAACTCCTGCATATAATTAATGTAAAATATATCATTTTTACTTTTTTCTAGAACGATCTTAGGCAAAAAACGCAAACCAGCAAAAAAACGCACGCAGAAAACGCATAGTGTAGCCAGGCCTTTTGGCCAGTAACAACTCCAGACAGTCGCAAAGTCACAGCCATAGCCACACTCATAGCACCAGCACTGTGTCTGTACCTGATAGAAGGCGGCTATCGCCTGGTCCACGTCCCGGAACTGGAAGTTCTCCAGGTCCGTGCCCGCGTGTGAATACTCGAGTACCAGGAACAGCTGGTCGCTGGGGAAGACCCGAGGGTGCTCGTTCTCCGAACCTGGCGACAAATTGACGACAGAGGTCACCGGAGGTCATAGTCGGAAGGTTAAATGGCAAAACGGCGGTTAAAATCATGGTATTTACTCTTCGTTATAGCGGGACCCTCATCCGTCATATTGAAGTCATGCATGTTTTTAGCACTTGAGAAAAGCCTTATTCGCATATGCACCGATCCCAAAAAATACAGTCACCCTTTATCATGATAAAAACAATGTAAAAGCGAGGTTTTCGCTCACAGCAAATAATTATGCCGGAGAATGCAAACGTGAATCAACATTCACAGTATCCACTCTTCATACACATTACACGTCAACCCCGGCCAATCAGTAGCGACAAATAGCGAGTAACCAGCAGCGAGCAGTCAGTCAGCGGGCCGATCGGTACACCTCTCTCACATCCTCACCCTTGTCTTGGTCAAACTTGTCCCAGAGTTTGTTCAGGGAGGCCGGGTACGCGCCGCGCACCACGTGACTCGAGAGCAGGCGGACGTAGCCCTCTGCCGCGTGCTCCTTGCCCGCGTGCAGGTCACTCAGCGACCTGGGGCAGCGGGGTCAGGGGTCAACAGCGGCCTGGCAGCGGTGCGGCGCGGTCGGGTTAATGTCACTCGGCAAAATGTGATCAGTGAGAGCAAAGTCTGACGAAGAACATTAACTTAGAAACTGGTCAGACAGATCAGTCAGATGAAAGCAGTAACTAAAAGCGCTGGTAACTTTCTGCAACCGTCAAGCGGTTAAAAAAGTTCGTGGAAGAGAAGCAACAGATTTGAACAAGCATTGGAGCGCTTTGGCAAAGTTTATCATAACAAATTACATAAGCTCCAATAGGGCTCCACAGTTCCGTAACTTAAATATAAGCAACCAAATGCTCTCAACCACCTGAAGACGGAGCCATATTCTGGCAGTGGCGTCTGGCATCTGGCATGTTAAAATTGCTCGCGTTGACTCACTTTGAGATGAGAAGCTCTGACAACACCTCTCCGTAGCTCTTCTGAGCCGCGTCGTTAACCTCAAAGTCGCCCTCGATTGGCATAATTTTGATGACCGACCGGGACGTCTTGGTCTCGCAGAGAAACACCTCTCCGTACACACCCTCGCCAATCTTCTTGGTCACCTTGTGCCTGTGAACAGCGGATAGTGCGAGCTGTGGTTCGTAGTTTAGCGAGATGGTGTGGTCCAGATGACAGAGACATCATGTATGATAGCAATGGGGTGATCTGAACACACAAATAACGTGTTATTTTACAGCCCACGTCTGACCTTAAAAAAAAAGAATCTGACTAAACAACCAAGCCCACGAGAAACAGTCTAGTGCACAATCGGCATAGTATACATGAAGTAAATGCATGAAGCTTGAAAGCTCAATCATAAAACGATAACGATACATGCCTCTTCACCACTGAATGCAACGCCTTTAGCAGTATGTATTACACCTTTTTACACTCAAAATAGGCATCTTTTCATTCAATTTCGGCGAATTGCATTCAATTTTAGCGATCTCTCTATTCAAAGCAAATGAGAGATCGCTAAAATTGAATGCAATTCGCCGAAATTGAATGAAAAGATGCCTATTTTGAGTGCAAAAAGGTGTATTCATTGCACTCACCTGCGAGAGTACTGTAAGAAGCTAGCCGGTCGCTCCAGGCCACACAGCTCCAGAACCCTGGCAGCTGGGTCGTCGTAGTTGAGCGACACGTCCGGTCCGTTCTGCAGAGTCGCCTCCGCCTCGTCGGTCGACACGTAGACGGAGGAGCGCCGGTGTTTGGGCGCCGGGCTGAACCCGACGGGCAGCACGGAGCGCCGCCGCGGCGTGGGCACACACTCGGACAGCGGGGCCATCGAGACGCGCACCGAGCGCCGTTCGGCCGCGCCCGGCAGAACGGGAGAAGCAAACAGCGCGTCCCCGCCGCCACCGGTCCGGTCTGCGGCGGCGCGCGGCGTGGCCAGCGCCGGCAGCGAGTCCCGCAGCGCCTGGAACGCGGCCATCGCTCGCGAGTACTGCTCTTCGGAGAGCTCCCGGTGGGAGAGCTGCATCGAGCGCCGGCCTGCCTGGCGCGCCTGGGGCCCGGTGGTGCCCATCTCGGAGACCCGTCTGGACGGTAACGCCACGGACCGCCGGGCGTCCCGCGGCGTGCGCCACTCGACCTCTGACGGTGGCGGAGGGGCGGGCAGCGCCATCGACACTCGGCGGCCACTCCTCAGTGTGTGAGTCACAAACTCCTGCTGCTGGGGCGGCGGCGGCGGAGGTGGCATCAGCGACCGCACCCGGTCTCCCTCTTGGTCCTCCTCCTCTTCCTCCACGTACGTTGCCAGGGTGGTGCGGCGGCTGCGGAGGGGACGCAGCCGTGACGTGTAACCAGTCGGCTCCTCCTGTCCGCCGCGGCCCGGCTGCAGCGACCGCCGACGGTCCGGCAGGTCAGAGGCGTGGCGGGGCGTCACTGTCCAGTCGCGCAGCCCGCCGTCCGCGGCCGCCGCGTCCACCTGACATAAGGAGCGGCGCCAGCCCTTGCCGGCTCGCAGCGCCAGCAGCACCGCGCCCAGAGACGGAGTGGTAGCGGCGGCGGCGGCCGGCGGCCGGCTCTTCTCGTCTGCAGGCAGCGGGACCAACGCGGTTAGAGCCAGCTACTAACATTGAGCCTGTGGTACTTTGTGTTATTGTAAACATGAGGACACGTTTTAAACAAAAGCTTCGCACACTGCAATTGATTTGATGAAAAATACTTAACAGTAAAACTTAATATTGATTTAAAACACAAATAACGAAAGTAAAAACATAAAATTCACGGAACACACGTAAAATATTGAGAAAAAAACAGCAATTCAGCAAGGATGCTGAATAAAAGTTTGAGTTTAAGGAACGTGATCTCTTAACCACAGCCTCTTCTCACCTCGATCAGGCGACAGCAATGGCGGCAGGTGCAGCGGCGATACATCGGCCTCCGAAGGACCATGGTCCGTCTCCAGTGGGCCGTCATGGTCCGCCTCCAGTGGACCTTGGTCCGCCTCCAGTGGACCTTGGTCCACCTCCATCTGACCGTCATCCGCCGCCGACTCGACCTTTGTCGCGTCAGAAGCGTCTTCCTTCCACAGACCGCTATCCTCTCCTCCGCTGGTGTCTTCGGCCGCCGGCGATGGGTCTCGGGCCGCCCCCACTTCTTCCAACCGACACAGGTGGACAAAACACTCGGCCATCCTTCCCATGGAGCTCTGTGAGGAAGAGGGCGACATCTTTGCGTCGCTCTCCGCGGGATCCTCGGAGACATCCGCAGCTCCAGAGTCGCTGCCCGCCCCCGTCAGCTCTCGGAGCTCATCGGAACTCAGTCTCTGGACACGGACGAAACAGTCGACTAGCGGCGACGCACCGTCGAGGTTCGTCTGGCGCGAACTGAGCGGATCGGTACCGGACCTGTCCGCAGAAAACCACCGTGACCCATCGGTAGCGTCCATGGGGGCAGCCGGCACATCCTGTCCCAATTCGGCGTCCACCTTCGAGTCGGCAAATCGAGACAGATCAGACCGCACCTCGTCGGACGAGAGGCGCGACGCGCCATCGCCAGAAACGAGTCCCGACCGCGCCTCGACCGAACCTGTAGGCGCCTCAGCAGTCTCCTGCTCTTCGTCTTCTTCGTCCGATGAGAACACAGCCGACCTGTAGCGCGGCAGCATGTCCACAGGACCATCGGCTATGGAGTCGTCGGCCCCTTCCACCGACAGCCTCGTCTCCTGGTGCGCCCGTGTTGCCAACACGCTTGTCTCCGGCATTGTCTGTCCCACCGCTAAGCTGGCTTGGTGTGACTGTCCCACCGCTGGGCTGGCCTGGTGTGACTGTAATTCCATCGCTAGGCTGTCCTGATGTGACTGTCCGACCGCTGGACTGGCCTGGTGTGACTGTCCGACCGCTGGGCTGGCCTGGTGTGACTGTAATTCCATCGCTAGGCTGTCCTGATGTGACTGTCCGACCGCTGGGCTGGCCTGGTGTGACTGTTCCATCGCTAGGCTGTCCTGATGTGACTGTCCGACCGCTGGGCTGGCCTGGTGTGACTGTCCCACCGCCGGGCTGGCATGATGTGACTGTGCCACTGCTGGGCTGGCCTGGTGTGACTGTCCGACCGCTGGGCTGTCTTGATGTGACTGTCCCATCGCTAAGCTGTCCTGTTGTGACTGTCCCACAGCTGGGCTGGCCTCAGGTGACAGCCGGGGAGGTGACAGCGGCTGGGACGTAGCGGTGACAGCAGGAGCAGAGAGAACAGGTCGGGGGAGGGAGGCGGGCCAGGGACAACGACGCTGTCTCCGTGAGCGCTCCTGTCGGGCTGAGCTCGGCCGGCGACGACGACCAGCTCGGGACTGGCGCCGGGGGTGACGGTGCGCACACTATCCGCGGCCGGCAGGAACGGCGAGACCAGCGGCGAGGCCGACCACAGACGGCCCGCCACCGGAGTGCTGGCGCTAGGTCCGACGGTGGCGGCGCTCAACAGACGCCGGCTAGGCACTGCGGGGGTGCCAACCATTTTCGGCTCCCCAAACAGACCTGATGCCTCGCCGTCCCGCTGCTCCACTGACACCAGTCCCGACTCATCGCGTTTTCTCTCCACGGAGCGCAGTCCTTCCGACACATCGCGGCGCCTTGTCTGTGCCCCTGCCACGCTGTCGCGGCCCTTGGAGGGACCGCTCCAGTCGGAGTCCGGTGCAGGGAAGATCACACTCGGACGAGCACGGGCGGGCACCGTGCTGGAGCGCTTCGAGGCACGGCCGTACGCCTTCGCCGGGCGGTTCTCCTTACCACGTCGTCCTGGGAGCGAGGCCTGCGTGAGATCGCATACGAGAAACACGAGCAGCGGAAACACGCTGCAATATGAGATCGGATGCAGGAACTGATTGATGGCAGGAATGGAATCGAAAGATATCAAAATGAATGAATGAATGAATGAATGAATGAATGAATGAATGAATGAACAAACTAATGAATGAATGAACGAACGAACAAAGGAACGAAGGAACAAACGAACGAACGAACGAACGAACGAACGAACGAACGAACAAGCAAAAGAATGAACGAACGAACGAAACGAACGAACGGAAGAACGAGCAAAGGAATAGATAAATGAATGAATGAAAGAAACAATGAATGGCGGATATGGAAGCAATGAATGAATGAAAGCGTAACGGAGAGAAAACGTGTCTCTTACTACACACTCGGCTCAGTGGAACTCGGTGGAGCTCGTGTAACAAACCACAGGCTGCAGTAGGGGAACTTACTCTCGGTTTTACCGGGTGGCACCGGCGGCGGCGCCGACGGTGACTCGAACAGACGAATGCTCGGCGCCTGGTCAGCGCTGCTCGAGAACGAGCTTTCATTCAGTGGGTTATCTCGGATTTTCACCTTCTGAAAACTGAAACCGCAAAAAGAATAAAGGTTCAATCGGGGCTTTATTTGCATCGAAATTACCTATCTAATTTACATCAATGAAAGTAGTAACAATTGAACTGAAAATGCCTACATAAGGACAGGTGCATCGAAAAATAGACAACAGTGCTTTATTTATATTTATATTTATTTGTATCTATATGTGCTTTGCTTAATTTATGTAACAAGCTGTATCATATGCCAACAAATGTACTATCAGGCAATGTTACGGTAATGGAGTTTCGGTTCACCGATTATACATCACCCAGCGCGACACGACGCGTCGACTCACACTTGTCCGCGCAGCAGCCGGTCGAACGTGGTCTCGGCGTCGGACCAGCTGATGGAGGCGGCGGACGACTGGCCCGAGCGGCCCGCACCGGAGCTGGAGGCCAGCGGGGAGGACTCGGCCGAGTCGGGCTCCCGGTACTGGACGGCCGGAGGGTGGCGCACGCTGCGCCGGGTGGGCCGCATCTCGACAACAGGGCGCAGCACAGGACCTGCAGGCAGTGGAGCGGCTGTGAGGCCGGCTGCGCTGTAAATGCTCCGCACTTGGATAATGGGAGGAGAGGTCATGCCATCTGTCATGCTGCAGTCTGCACACTTTGATTAGTGGATCCATCCATACTAGGGAGTGGTGTGAAACTAGAGCAGTGGGGCTCAATAACTGATAACAGGCATCAGATCATAACTGTATTTAGGATACCCACCTAATATAAGAGTGCGGGACATAAAATAGAATAGCTGTTAATGGTCATTGGGAATGGGATGAGAGAAAATAATAATTAGGTACAAGAATTCATAAATAAATATTCATTCACATAGTAGAAAAATAAATTGCAGCACAAATCATGAAAATAAATTCAAAATATTCTGAGCAGTTAGCTTACAAACCTCACTCGTAATTTGTATCAAAATCCCTAGATTTCATTCATGGCAAGGCCAGGTCCAGGCTCCTATATTGGTAGGAGATATCACAGGAAGAGTTGCAACTTGCCAACTGTGAACTATGCTGGGTCACTTTGCCCTATACTGCCAGACAGTATGAGATTTAAACTACACTCTGCTCTGCTCCTTGCAGAATGTCTTACTTCTTAGCCTGAAATATTTGATCAATTTATTATGATATTGCCTTATATCTTTCTGAAGTTTTCCATTTTTGGCAATGAACTAAGAAGAGCCCAAGTTCCTTTTACAATTTACATAGCTCTTTGCTAGTAAATCATTACACACACATCAAACAATATTCTTCTTTGAGGGAAGGAAGGCAAGACAAAATAAGCTACCTACCAAAAGATAATTGACACTAGGCATCTATCATAAAATTTCATAGCTAAAATATGCCTTATTCAATTTCTGGAAGCTTCATCATGAATGTCAGTTTAAACTCAAAGTTGAAATTAAATAAAACAATTTCACCTAGACCTTTCTTGCAAACAACCAATGAGTTATGGTGATTTGACATTAGGGCATTTACATATTAAAGCCTGTCAAGTGTCAAGTGTCAAGCTGATGGCTAAATTATCACTGATGTGCCTGCCTATGCCTATTTTTCATCAAAGTGCCACCAAACCTCCGCAACTCAAATTGTCTGCAGACTGAGATATGGATGCTGGGTTTCAGTTAGGCATTTAATGGGCTTTTATTAGGTATTATGCTAGTTCAAATTTAATTAGAAGGGTTTTTTGTTGCTTGGTTGGTTGGTTGGTTTGGGTTAAGCATACCATATCCAGCGGACTAAGTGCTAACCAGGGCCCTGTTCGGCAGCCGGCTAGTACTCTTGCCGGCACTCACATGCGTGTTGGTTGCCCCGGCAACAGGCTATTGACCAATAAGAGGCGAGGAAAGTGCAACACCACTGCAAATTTTCATATACCTGTGCGGTGTGCCCACCGGAGCCGAGCGTGCTTCTCATTGGTCAACAGCCTGTTGCCGGGGCAGCGAGCATGTATATGTGCGCCGGCAAGAGTACCTACTAGCCGACCGCCGAACAGCACTCAGAACTCTCACAATGTTCCAAGCGGCCTGGCAGTGGCAATGCCACACGCATCAGCATTGCCCAGGAAATGGACCCTGATGACTGAATCTATAGGCAATAAACTTATCCCCAAGGTATATTTAGCCCTTGATTTAGCCCTAGGCAATGTTGCCCAGGCTTTATATTGCTTATAAATGCTATAGCATATGGCTATAGCCTTTGAATTCAGTAGATGCCATTTCTGGCGCAACAGCGACAAGTGCTCAAGTAAAAGATAACCGTCACTCTGTGATCTTTCTTTTCATGGAGAGGTGAGTAAGCTTAACATTAACAAATTACACTACTGGTGCCTTACCTAACACGCGGTAACCACTCTATATCTATTAATATCTAACCTGTACCTATCAGCATCAAATTACCTTTTTCAAATCCTGTGCCAAGAATTAACCAAGGACGGCAAGGACGTACTAATTTTACGGAGTGAAATTCACTACCATTTCTGTGATAAATGACGTCATGAAAAATACGAAGTAAATATTCCAAGGTTCTTTTATATTCTATGTTATTATTTTTGTATGGAAAATTGGTAACAAGGAAAAATAAATGATTGTTTTAAAACATCACAATAAGCAAAATATCTTCTTGGGTGGACTACTACGATTCCTTAGTAGGTAATCAGCTTCAGTATGGTTTCAGGCGCCTTCGATCAATTTTACTGAACCATCACTTTTTCTAACACACCACACTTTCCTTCTCGGCAGTTTTTCGACAGGAAATGCGTGTTACGTAATTTGTTCTAGGCGGTCTATTTTGATTTATTTTGTTGACCCCGCCCGGCGCCCGCGCTCATTGATCGCCCTCCCTTCCTTCCTTCCCTGAACACATTCCAATGATAATCCGCGTAATATGCACCTGGCACCGGCGCACGGAATGACAGGCGAATGGCGATAGCCGACGGAAGGTCGATACGATCGCCTTTCGTACCTGCCTGAACGCGCCTCTGCGCCCTAGAATGACGCCCAGAGGTCACACCAGGCGGCGGGCGCGGCCAATAGGAACGGTTCCCTTAGTAGGGCGGCCGGTTTGGTGGAGTGAGGACTGAGGGGGCTCCGCAGCGCGTCCAACTCGTTGGACGTTGAGGCCTGCAAGGATTGACGACCCGTGAATACAGTCTTTCCGGTAGGATACAGCCAATGATACCTACAGCTAAGGATTCCGGTTAGGTATACCCGGTGAGAAGGATTAATGAACTTACCTATAGAGCGATGCTGTGTAGTGTGTCCTCGTAAGTTGAAAAGTTAGCTAAATGTGTCCAAATGTCTGTCAACAAGCCGTACCTATAACCATTAACCTACTAGCCTGTTCGTATTTTAACGCGTTATGTACGCCGCCAGAATCCGTTATTAGGTAGGTATAGCCGATATAGGTAGGTACCTATATGTATAGGCCGATGGTGATTGATTGGTGTGTTCACTGTTCCTGAAAACTATATTGTGAGTTGTGACCATAAGAGAAAAAGTCATGTTCGAACTTCAAAAGAGACTGGATATTTCAAATAGGCACCATGGTTGACGTTGAAACTATTTCTATCTTTTTCAGAATCCGCCTCAGTAAACCGAAGGAATTGAAGAATTCTCGAAGACATGGAATTGGAACGTGAGTGTACGATTAGGTATGAGAAAATCCATTGGGCGACGGGCGCCAAAATGTCCTGATTTCTCGCCCGTTTCATTCAAGCATACTCAATTATGTTGGAATACCTAAGCCGCCTTACATATATCTCCGTTACCAGTTACCACTGTTGCCCTATATAACCCGTGAAGTCAGCGCTGACCGTTCTGTGCTCCGGCAGTGCCTCCGAGCGGGATGCCGCTCAGGTCGGACCCGCCCCCGGTCCCGCTGCGGTTCCATCGGGTGCACGGCGTCAACATACGGCTGTCCACGGACCGACGCTGCGCCAGCCGCGTGCCCGCCAACGCGTGCGCCGGGGGTCTGCTGTTCAGCAGCCGGCCACTGGCAGTCAAAGAACAGGTGCAGGAGGGAGGGGAGCTTCATGTAGGCATGGGTGGTGGATGTGTTCTGAGCAGGACTGACCGTATTGGCAGGCACGTGCTAATCCGTTGTTAGAGACGAAGCCCGTTTAAAAATGCATTATTAAACGTTTAGCGCAGGTTTTTGTAATAGTCATATCATGTTCTCGTCTGATCTGGTCACTGGTCAGGCCCGGTCAAGTTCTGACCTTTATCGAACTTAACGTCCCCCTCCCCCCCCCCCCCCGGTCGGCAGATTGTGTTTCGAATATCGATGATGGGTCCCATCACGAGCGTAGCGGGCGTCATTTGCGTGGGCTTTACCACGGTCGACCCGGCCAGCTTCGAACGGCCACCAGTCAGCCGGCTCATCTCAGGTGGGAGTAACCGACTGCAGTATACACATACTCGAGGGGGCACAGACTGTGATCTCCGCTGTGACTGATAACTGCAGCAGCCACTACAGACATTAGGGGACACCGGACTGCAGTCGGAGGAGGGGGGGGGGGGGGGGGCAGCGGCAGCCAGCAGTGACGATCCGTCCAACTGTATTGCCTTTCATCTAATACCTGGAACGACCCGGCTCACACATCTCGCATTCAGGCGTAGGCTATTTGATCACATTTGTCCACAACTACGGTGATAAATTTCACAGACCTGGTTCTGACGCCCGGCTACTGGGGCTCGGCGCTGGAGCCGTGTCTCCAAGAGGTGAACCGGCGGCTGGGCTTCTACGCCACCCCCTGCGGCTCCGCTCGGCTGGAGGTGGACGGGGTGTTCCATAACCTGATCTTCAGTGGTGTGGACACGTCTCGACCGTTCTGGGCCGTGATCGACATCATCGGCCCCGTCTTTGGCGTGCAGCTCATCCGTACGTACTTATTACCAAGCGAGTCGACAATTACCGGTCTGACTGATCGGGTTATGCTAGGGAGATCTGCAGAGAGTGAACGATTTTGCTATGCACCGGCTCTTCAAATAAATCAAAACGTGTCTGTACTTCGTCTTCGGATGGGTTATTTCACAAGAAGTTAGTGCCCCGCACATGTCGTTATTCTTTTGCACTTCTTATCCAGGTTCACGTAATCAAGAACTTACACGGTAGCCGATACCGATTCATCCCCACACCCCCTGGCCGTCATGTACCCAGCATGCAGAGCGCCGTACTGTAAGGTCCACCGCTCTGTTATGACGTCACCCGTGCCCTGTTGTGACGTCACAGCTGACTGGCAGCCCACTCTGCCGGACGACTCTCCCCCTGCTCGGCGTGTATCGGTGCGCCGCCAGCCGGCCGTCCACTGGACCGGCTCGGCGACTCCCGAGGATGTCCTGGACTCGTGGGTGCGACAGGAGAGGACGAGGCTCCTCGAGGTACGGCGCACGGACCAGGACGATGACGTCTACCTGGCGGAGGGTGTCCGTGATGGGGAGGACACAGTGGAAGTGGGAACGGATGCTGGAGAGGAGGCTGAAACGGATAGGGTCGAGATCGGAGAGGACGCTGTGAAAACGGTCGGACTCAAGCCGTGCCCGCTCAACAGGTGAGAATGATGTCCGTGGGGCGGACAAAAATTGCGAAATAAGTGTAACGTCACTTTAGGGTATTCACATGATGCGTATCGGATCCGGTCTAAGATGCATTTGGTTTTCAGCACTGGTTCGCACAAGTTGTGTTATTTCATTGTCTGGACACCTTTCTCTCCATGCGTTAGCATTCTTCCCGGTGCGTCATGACATTGTGCTGAGACCCGCTGAGCCTCTAAGGCCACACTGACAGAGTTCTTTCCTCCTCAGGGACGTGGTAGGCGGCCCAGTGAAGGTGCGGGCCCGCGGCACAGAGGCATGGCTCAAAGAGGGCACGGCGGGGTACGCCTTCACCGCCGTGCCGCTTCTCCGCGGCACCTGGATCCGGCTCCGCATCCTGGAGACCGTCCGTGCCGGACCCGGCGAATCGACCGCCGGCCTGAGTATCGGTCTGACCCTGACCGACCCCGACCACCGGATGGGTCTCCAGCTGCCGGCTGACCCACGGCAGTTCGGCGACGGTACGCAGCTGCTACCGATCGCCGACGACGTTCTGCGCCGACCCCGAGTCGGTGACCTGGTGGACATACTGCTGGCTGTGGACGGCGCCATGCTGGTGACCTCTCGCGGGGAGCCGTATGACACGGTGCTCGGCGCAGCCACTGCCCTGCCCGTGTGGCTGATGCTGGGGCTGACTGGTACAGTGCGGGCAGTCAGGATTCTCGGCACCACTCGTGTCGCCGAGTCCGAGTTTCCTGCCGAGGAGCACCCGGCGGACCAGCCGTGGTGGCCCGACCCGCGGCTGGTCAGCGGGGAGGACGCGCACGGCTCGGTGACCCCGCGGTGGGACGGCCGCAGCGTGTCACCCCAGTGCCGCCACGAGCCCGACGAGCCGGACCCGATTCCCCGGTGGGTGTGCTCCACAGAGGGGTGCCCGGGTCTGTTCCGTCCCCCTCCCGGCTCGGACGACGAGGGTACCATGTGTTTTCTGTGTCGCCGGGAGGCGCCGGCCGACGTGGGTCTGGTCTGCGGCCACGGTCATCTGTGCCGAGCCTGCGCCGCCCAGTGGCTGCTCGACGGACGTCCTCGGGAGTGTCCCATCTGCGAGCAGCACCGGAGGCGGTTCGATGAGCTGAATGCCCAGTAAGGGGCCGCGGCCGCCACACGAGGCTGTTCGCTTGTGGAGCCTCATGGTACAACGGACGCATCGCGGGAAGTCGGGTATATGTAACTGCATGCTCCGAAAGTGTAATTGTAATATCAGCAAAGGTGAACATTTTATCGCCCACGTATTCATTCATTGGCATCTAAGGCTGTGCAATTAGGGCTGTCGAGATAAAAAAGTTTGCATTTTGTCGCCCATGAGTTCGTCATTTCTGGTAGTATTCTGGGTCGCCGTCGATTATTGATGTAGTGTAGCATGCAATATCGGTTCTCGTCACCTGGAAGCTGGGGCTGTGCCCACTGAAAGTGGCTAAGGCATTGTGGCTGTGGTATGCGTAGACTGTGGTGCACCGCCGCATGTGGATTTATCGGCGAATATCAGCACACAGGTAGCTGCTATAAGCAGTGGTGAATATCGCCCAAACTTGCAGCTATCCGCTCATTTCCTGTTTTTACTGTCGAGGGTATAAATAAAGTTGTTATAAATCTTTCTACCACGATTTTATATAAACGCCTGAAATATTTCATGACTAAAACGATCCAGGCTTATCAGACACACTCCCACACATTAGACGAGCTGCCACTGACTCTCCGGTCGGGATAAAACACACGCATGATGATGATTATGTAATGACAGTGGCGCACATCGCGTACAACATCAATTGGAAACACTTATTTGAGACCAAGAGGAGTTCCGATATAAGTATTTGCCATGAAATGCAATAGACAAAATACCGCAGAAGCTAAATCGTCAAGCAAATCACTCAAACTGTTTTGTCCTCTTAAAAAAAATACTGAACAAACAAATCGAACAATTTGCTTGCGAAAACCGATCAGCGGACAACTACACACTACACACACGACGAAAGCACACCGATTCACGATAAAGTAATTTAGGCACAAGCACAACAAAGCGTAACACAGGACAACCGCACTTAAGCATGGTAATTAATACCCGTCACGAAATTGTCACACGACTGTGCAGTTATGCGTAAACGACGAAAGCTGACGACACCTGCATTGACTGCTAGGTAAATTGGATTATTGTACGGAAGGCAAGAATCCAATAAACGTTTACGCCGTCAGAGCTTCCAAGACGTACCTACATTATTACAAACTAGGCCAACACGCCATAACTTTTAGGCGGCGCTGGTTCTTGGCGCCGTCTATTTAACTGCTCACAAAAGTTACAGGGCAAAAAGACGAACAGTCCCACTGAATAAAAGACATCACTAAACAACGCCCAAGATAAACCGCTATTATTATGCTATCGGCGCGGCAAGTTCATGCAATAAGTCGCAATGGCCAAATTATCGCTTAGAGGGGATCATTCCGATTAGTTTGTGCATCACGCTTTAAAATCGTCTCAGGGGTTAGTCTCTCTCAAACGGCCAACGGATTTGACAGTCGGGATAGTAAAGACTCCACACGCATCGCCACGGAAGATATTTGCTTGCTTTCACATCAAGATGCGATTCCGGTGGGTATACACTACACAGTACACACCATACCTAAACTCGCGAAGGTGAAGCATCTCAGCCGCGATCAGCATCGGGTGGCGACCGCAGGTTGGACAAAACCCGCTTTTACCGAGACCGACGGAGCAGGGAACAGTTGGCCCTGCCATGCAACATGTAGATAAAGGAAAGGGCAACCACATTCACATGTCATCACAAACGCGCCCGTAACACTCGTTTCAGCACACACCATGCAATGTTTTTTTTTTTCCTAGTATAGGCAATAAAGTGACAGCACGAATGAAATCCTAACCTCCCGTGCTGTAAGCACGGTCCAAATCAATATTGGCTCACAAATATTCAACAAGTATCAAGTAAAGAATTAACAAAGTGATCTAAATAAAGACCTAATTTATAAATCACTTCCTGGCTTGATCCAGACGGTCATGGACCAGAGTCCAACGTGCATGCATGTCAATCACTTTGTAAATAAACTCCAATTCCAATTGTGCGTCTGAGCACACGACTGCCGTATCACCTCCGCGGTCGAACCACACCCCACCTGTTCAGGTACTACGTACCAATGTCTCTCGCTCTACTCATTCTATGCTGTCACACTGCCGCCGACACAACAACCCAGCTCCCTGCTTCCACCTCACCAGAGCACCTTTGATTTAAACCACAGCAACTCACTGACTCACTAGCCAACACACCCGTTCAGTTCTTCCCTCCTATACCACCCAGACGATCTTCAGCGTCTCATCCGTTCTCTCAGTGCCACTTAATATCATCATCGCCATCACTCTCTTCTTCCGGCGTCTGGCGTCTTCCCTCGGGTGTCAGCCCGTTCATCAGGACATCTGTGGACGACACGTGCGGCGCCAGCATGTGCTCGTTCCTCGGCGGCGGCTCCGTCAGCAGCTGCAGCTCGGGCGGCGGCGGCGGCTCGGCGTCCACCGGCAGCGGCGCCGTCTCCGGCGGCGGCACCTGCGACGGGTTCTCCAGCATGGCCACCAGCTGGTGGCCGTCCTTGGAGTCGGTCAGACGGCTGGCCAGCTCGCGGGCGTCCATACAGCCGCGGCCGAGCCAGGTGGCCCCTCGGACGGCGCGGGCCAGCCGGCCCAGCTGGGCGGGCAGCCGACATACCTGGGCGGCCGGCAGCGGCGGCAGAGGAGCGCAGGCGTCACCGCCGGCGTGGCCGATCACCACCTGAGGAGAGGCCGTGGGGCGTCAGGGGGACTAAATACAGGGACCGACGGTGGCTCCTGCGGCGAGGCCAACTAGCGATTAGCGAATCGAAGCATATGTTTGTACCGTGTGTTTACATTATGGAGTCCGACAGTCGCTTCAGCATATGCCTCGAAAGATTTAACCTTTAAAACCCATTAGTCCATTGCACGACTCCCCCACGACCACCACAGTCCGTCATATCCACTACAACCTTGCAGTCCATTCTAGTTCCCACCTAGTTGCTCCTGTCTTCCCACTCCCAACCGCGCCGGCAGTCCATTCTCGTTTCTACCCACCCTAGTTCTGCCGGCGTCCATCTGTAGGTAGTGCACGGCCGACGGATAGATGCGTGGGTAGATGGGCAGTGCGCTGCTCTCCGGGAACACCAGTAGCAGCACGGTGCGGCACCGGCGCAGCTCGGCCGTCAGCCATTCGACCGGGTCCTGCCGGCGGACGACACCCGGTCAGACAGGAACTGGGGTACAGACGGCCACTAATACACATGTCAATTTGTATACAAGGAGACATATTTTTAGACCGATTTCATTTATGTCATTGGGAGGCAAAATATCAACTTAAGATGTCAGATTTAAACTACTTTACCTCTGGAGTAAAACAAATACACATTATACAAAACAGAAACATAACAGACAGCTGACAGAGAGATGATAGACGACTAAAAGACACGACAGAAGGCTGATACCGTGCCAGCCAGGCGTGTCTCACCATGCCGGCGCTGGCGCGCGGGATGTCTACCACGTCCAGCCGGGTGCGCACCAGACAGTGGTTCTCTAGCCGGCGGGCCACGTGACGCGCTAGACTCGCGTTACTGTTGTACAGCACCAGTACTTCGACCAGGGCCGGCTCCTTGGCTGAGGGAGCGCACGGCATCAGAGGAATTAGGGACCGGCCAGAAATGATAGCGATGTCGGCCGTAACAGGGCGAAACACAGTGCAGCTACAATTGACTCGTCAACGCAGTTCAAGAACGGCAATAAGTCACTGTCATTAAAATAACGTAAAAGGACCTTTCATCCTAACAGCCAACAGACGAAACATCCATAATGTTCATCAATAATACCCTTCGAGGTTAATTGACAAGGAGTTTCCCAAAACAGTGGTATTATGTGCGACTGCAATTATTAGGTGAAATGTTATTAGCATACGGTACCTTGAAGGTATGCCTAAGTTACGTCAAATAGTAGCTTAGTAGGCAATCAAGCAAAGTTCTGCTTATCATAAATATAAAGAGACAAACACACGACACAGAACCAGTCAAATGACGTACAGCATGACGTCACCGGGAACGTACGTGAATTTAGCATGGTGACTCCACTGGTATAAATGATGGCTGTCGGCAAGAGAAGTAGCTAGGTATGATAAAAGTAAGAACGTAGCCAGACGTGGAAGCTCGTCATGCGGTAAACAGCTGAAACTTCGATAAAACTAGCATCCAAGTCAAGTGCAAACCTCATAGGCTGTTTTACTCACGTTTGTAGAAGAGCTTCAGATAAGCGAAGGCGCCAATGACGAGCACTAGAAACAGGACCAGAACCGAGGCCAGGATGGCCATCTCGGCAGTATTCTTCCCCGCTGAGGAGCACAAAAACATATTAAAGGCGCTATGTAGCGATTTCACTCCGATCAGCACACATAGTTTTTCAATGTCGTGATATCGTATCCCCAAGGAAACGAATTCAGCGAGTTTATAGAAGGACGCAACATAAATGTCACTTAACAGATCTTTTGGAAGAAGACAAGGTCAGTACATGCACTATGCAGTTGTGACAACCGAGTTGCAGTACATCTTCCAATAAAAAAATGGATCTCCTTTAGAAGCGTAGGACGGGGTATGATGAGCATCAGAAGCGACATTGAAGCGATACTGACGCGACATTGAAGCGATATTGGGCAGATGAGCACTCCTTACGGTAGCGTACGACGGCCGAAAGGGTCGGCTGGCCTCCTCTGGGCTGCACCAGCAGCGAGAGATTACCGGCATCCTCCGGTAGATCGAACGACACCCTGAACACTCCCGGGACGCTGGTGTTCTTCGAGGGCGCCTCCTGGAGTCACAGACAGACACATGTCAGACAGTAGTGGCGTTACACGAGCACCTGACTGGCCGACATACAAGCACAAGCGCGTCAGACACCGGGGAGTTGTGCAGGCACCACTCAGACACTTTGGCGTTACAAAGAGAACCAGCCACGTCAACACGACATGCACAAAACCAGTCAGACTTCAGAGGAAGATAGACGAAGAGGGTCAAAGTGGACATTTTACTCAAAATCGTGACTAAGCCAAATTCAACTTCCCATCTATATCCATCTGGTACAGGACAAAAATCGCCTACCTCCGAGCTATGACTGCTCGAAGGCCGGCGAGGCCATACACAGGATATATGTTTGTATATCCCGATATCGTCATACGGGATATATAAACATCCCGTAGTAGAAGGCAACTGAACCACCCAGCTCCTGTCACAACCATCCCACGTCCCCCAATCGGGGTCTCCCCTCAGACTCTCACCACCAAATGCCTCTCGGTGCCCTCGAGAGTGTGGTAGCGGGTGCAGTCGACCCGATCACAGTGCACCAGGCGTACGTCGTACTCTGAGATATTGAGAGCGGGCGGCGACCGCTGAATACTGTACACCAGTCGGTCCGAGCGGTGTGTGTGGACGACAATCATCGGCTCCCAGGAGCTCAGCTTGAGGCCGGACCGATCTGGGGATACACAGAAGGAGGGGAGTCAGACTGGGGGGTCGGACAAGCGAAGAGCTTTACAGGGACGGGATGGAATAGAAAGAGAAGAAACGGAGACGGAGAAGAACATAGATGGAGATAGGCGGAAGAGTTAGGGAGATAGGGTGTAAGACGGTGATTGAATGAGACAAAAGATAAACAGGATAGCGAAGGAATCAGAGGGGTACTATAGGAAGGTGACATGGAAGGAAGGCGATCAGTAATGCATCGGCGCATTTCGCCGGTACCTCCACCGATCCACCAGCACATGGAGCGGGGTCGACGGAAAGTTTGAGGAACGGGCTCACTGGAAGTTCACAGAATTGCCACTGGACTATAATTCCGAGTGGTAAAGGCACTGATGTGGCTAAGTTCAGTCTGGGAGACACATGCTCATGTACTCATTGCAACCCCAGAAAGTCAGTCATGGGCGGTGGATGTGAGAAGCTTGCAGGACTACCTAGGACTACAGGTAAGCAAGCTGCCCCTAGAAACTAACCAACGAAGGATAAGGACAATCGGATAAAAAACACACGACATAGACGGTCATAGCATTAGATACAGTAAAAAAAAAAAAACACACACACACATACACATTTCAATCAAAAGCAAAACAAATGATTTATATAATTTAACAGCAACAGTCTTAGCAATTAAAGACGTTAAAACTCAGCCTGCTTACAGTACCAAAGTGTGTGGTAAACTTTTACATCCCAACACACATAAAAAACTAGTTAATTCGCCACATGTCCCTATTCCCATTCCCCTTGGCGTATGCCGCATCATCTCACCGTTTCTGCATCATCATCGACAACTCACAGGATATGTTGGCAATGTCGGGCAGCTGAAAGCGGTAGGTGACCGTGTGCTCGCGAGTACAGAGCTGCAGTGAGACGGCTGTGCCGTGGTCCAGCGGCTTGTGGATGGGACAGTCGTAGCGCAGCCGCCGGCCGGGCGCGGCTCGGCTGAGCCGGAACTGGCCGCAGCGCCACTCGTGTCGAGAGGAGGTCGAGACGAACGCCAGCTCTGACGGAAACAGAGAAATACGACCGAATCGGGGTCATGGGGAATAACCTCAATAGCGATATGTAGAATATATAGAAGAATATAGAATAATATATAATAATATAGAAGGGAAACAGACATAGTCACATACATATAAAGATACAAACAAAACTGCAAACTCAAGTAATTAATAGCTGACAGATAAGGAGTGATAAAAAATGAAATGAAAAAGATAAACATTCCATCCAATCAAAAAAGGATATCACAAATGAAACAAACAAATTAAGGCAAAATGAGCAAAACCGAAAAAAAAGATAAATGAGAGCAATCAAACTCTTGTGCGTTAGCCCTAACAAATCAGGCACAGAAAGGTCGAAGTCCGTCGGCCTACCTCGCCACCCCCTGTTGGTGACCAGAATGTCGGGTGTGGTCGGGAACTGGTTTTCGGCTGCGCAGTCACATTCGAACGGGTACGCAGTGATCACCACGTCGTCTTCGAGCGGCACGTGCCCGAACGACGCCGCTGCCGGAGGGGGGGGGGGGTGTCAGAGGGAGGCGTGGAGGTCACACGGTGTGTGTACAGGGAAATCCTACTGTGTTGATGGTAATAAATGGATAGGTGTAGTAACTTGACTTATCAACTTATCAATACAACATTAGCTTCAATGTAAAAATTTATCAAGGCTGTAAAATACGTAAATATAACTAAATCAGCACTTCAGCAGGGTGTCGGGTGGCCATGACCGGTCTTTTCTTAGTCACATGAGCGTCACGAAAAAAAAAAAAACGGCACACATCATCTTCATCCACACGTAACCCATGCGACCTTTACCCATCAGCTGAACAGTGCATCACCCCATATTGACCAGACCGCACACACATCTTATCGACAAACACCGTGGCGCCTGTTTGTTGAGCGGCCCCGTGGCGACCATGCACGGCCGCGCGGCACCGCCGCCCGTCCCGAGGCTACTCACGGGGACACTGACACTTGTCCGACTGCCCGTCGCACTGGAGCACTGGCCAGAGACCCACTTCGTCCAGGGAGCAGCCCCCTGGTGGGCCAAAGAACACGGTGAGAGGGAAAACAATCCGCCAAACTTGTCTTACATGTAATTAAAAATCTGACTAACTCATGCAGAATAATAATCTATTAGCGCTTCGTGGAATTTAATGAGCATCCGAAATTAATGGAAAAATAAAAAACAGCACACAATGCAATAGTACAGGTACATATACCAAGGCTATATGCATGTACAAACCTTTGCCGCTCGAAACGAAAAATTGGCATTCTGTACCATCGCCTCCAATCTGAAATGAGCAGGAGAAAACTGTGAACATTTATTACGGACGAAATCGATTTCATTCTTCACAAATATTCCTGAAGATTCGTCGCTGCTTGTGAATAGTCAATAACTATAGTAACTAAAAATGCCGGCAATGCACACTTACAATAGACGCGAACCAGACCAACTTTCTTGGTGTCTACCGTCAACGGGTCAACGGTTAACGATCAGCATATTTAGGGGAGTTGAGCTAAGGTTACAGTAATCTTGCGTGGAGCATCGTACCCACTCCACATGGTGAGAAGCCTGGTTCAAGTCAAAAAATCCTCACAGGGATGGCCGCAGTTGGTGGGGGCAGCGGCACAGCCGCAGACAGTTAAGGTCACTTGTACGGACATTTCTATGTTAGCGTGCTAATCTTTGGGTTTTGAATTTTATCAACATGAAATTACCCTCCCGGGTGAGTTCCAAATACGCTTCCGGGTAAGTTCGTTAATTTCGTTAAGATCATAACCTGCGCGACCAGCTCTGTGTAGTAAACTTTAACTTTGTTAATTCGCTCATTCAAAACATTTATATTCTGTAAATAAACCTTAACCGGACCTATATATTGGTTTTCTACATACGCGCCGGCCGGGGGGGGGGGGAGGGCGGGTACGACCCCACCCCCGCCGTTTCGCCCCTGGAGGAGCTAGCGCGTCGCGGAAAAAACGAGCGTGTGCGCCGTTACGAAACGCAGAGATTGATACCCGATTTGAAGGTCCTAGGTTGACCGGTGACCTCTGAGGTCAGGTCAAGTGACCCAAGGTAGTTTCGTTTTTGGTGAATAACTCCGCAAAAAACGGCCGCAGAGCCGCTATTCTGGCAGCATCGTGTTCGCCTCGTTTTGTTGCGTCGAATGATATACTTTTTGTTAGGGTGAGGTCAACTTAGGGTGCTGACCTCGGGTCATGGTCAGGTCAGCGTCCCCAGGTCACGAAATACATTTGACCTGGGGACGAAAATATTTTCATTTGTAGGTCGAAGAAGGTCATGTCACATATCATTCGATTCGGCAGCTTTCCTGAGTCCATTGTTGGCTTTTACGACTCGCTAGCTGTATTTGATCGGCAATTACTGACGCAAAACTAATATGACTCTAGTGACGTCATAAATGACGTCACGCAAGGTCAACATTGCAAAAGTGACGCATCGAACCTTGCAAGGAGTGCATGAAATCACGATTCTGTGTGCTTCAGATAGTCGGAGATCGTTCCCGACGCCAGAATAGCAGTTTTCTTTTTTCCCCATTGACTTATAATGGTGAGGTGAGGTCACAAAAATGACCTGACCTCATATGACTAATGACATGTAGGAAAAATCCGAGATATACAAGTTGTGAGACTCCTAATGGATACTAGATCCTGCAAGTTTCATTTCCCTGTGAAAGCTCCTCTGGCAGTGAGGGCGTTGCAAAGTTGCGACATCTGAAGACCGTGCAGAGATTCACTTATGACGTCATAGGTCAGTGATCTAACCTGACCCGAAAATGCGGTAGGTGTCAGAAGACCCGGCTTGAAGCAAAGGTCCGATGTGCCAAGTTTCAGCTCTCTATCGCCAGCGTGTTCGGAGCTATCGCGAAAAAAAAAACACTATGGGAGGGGCGGCACCCCCCCCCCCCCCTTCCTCGGCCGGCGAGGGTTAAGTGTGTGGATAGGCAAACTGACAGAACCAGAGCCCTTACTAAGCAGAAGTCGTTTCGGAGCCTGCAGGCCCCATCCCCTTGGTATCGTCCAATCGGGCAATTCCATATCATCAAGAACTTGGGTGTGCCCATCAGCCAGAAACGGCCAGTCCCACTGAACTGACCTTACTCAACTGAGACTAGCCTCAACTCGCAATTCGCTTGCCTTTGCCCCCACAAAACATAAGTCATTTCATCGTGAGTCACATATTTTAATCACTGGAGCGATTCAGACTTGGCCTCTCACCACTGGGAGACAAAATACCCTACCAATTGAGGAACAAGACAAAACTAAATCAATTTCATCTGTGCTCTACATAGCACAGACTTTCTTTTAACCCGCGCCGGGCCGGTGCTCTGAGATTCCGCGCCGGGCCGGGGGGGTGTCTGAACACCCCCCCCCCCTTCTAACTCGGCTCCTGGGCCACGTAGCGACACGCGGCAAGCGGCACTCGAAAGAACGTCCAAAATAAGGACAAAAACACTTCGGTCATTTTTTGGGTCAGGTCAAAGGTCAGGTCACCAGAGGTCACCAAAGGTCAAATGTCCGCTATTTCAACATTTTGGAAACTGCCAACGGCTATCTCGGGAACCGATAGAGCTACAGCGCCGCGGAAAAGCGCATTCGATAGCCCTTTTACAGACCTTTCTGAGTAATGCTCTCAGATTTGACCTCAGGTTAACGGTTTAGCCTCCAGGGGGCAAAAACTCCAAAAATAGCCATTTTTACGAAAAACGTTTTTTCGGCAATAACTTTTGACTCAAAAGAGTCATGACATTACTTTTACCACCATCGTGTTCCTCTCGTCGAGACGCGTCGAATGAATTATAATTTGACCTTGAAAGGTCAACTTGAAAATTTGACCTCAGGTCAAGGTCATGACCTGACCGGAAAAGGTCATGTTGCATATCAGTCGATCCGCAACGTCGAGCCGAACACATCTAAGGCGTTTTCAGCGCTCTAGCACGTCTCTATCAGAAGTTATTAGCGAAAAACTGTTAGATTCTGTTCGTGACCTGAGATGACCTCGGGGACATAACGAGGGGTCAGAGTTGCCATTTTCCGGTTCAGTGTGTCCATTTTACCTACATCTCGATGTTTGAGAGTGTCTAGAATAACGTTCGTGCAAAACAGACGCTTTTCAATTTTCTCCCATTGACTTATAATGGAGAGGTCGCAAAATTGACCTGACCTTAGGTCACCGATATCAAAATTCCGAGATATACATTTTATAGATATTGTTGCTCTAATCAATCGCTGAAAGTTTCAAGGCAATCGATCAATCGGTGTAGCTATGACGAGCATTCTTATTTTTTCTGAGGTGAGGTCACTTGGCGTGACCTGGTGACCTGACCTAAGGTGACCTGGGTCTGAAATTTTCACAACATGTGCGGAAAAGATGCACGAACAGGTGTGCCAAAAACGGCGGCGCTGAGATATCTGCGAAAAACCGCAGGGGGGGGGGGGTGTTCAAACACCCCCCCCCCCGGCCCGGCGCGGGTTAAAAGGGCATCAAGGTTATTCAATGCTATTGGATCTGTGTCTCTGGATATGCTTAATACCATTCCTGGACCAAAGGCCCAAACCAGAGTTGAAAATGTCTCTTCCCATTCAAAAACTTTACCTCATATAAAACATACCTACACTACAGAGAAAAACAAAGGGGAGACATAACTCAAATAAGGCAAAAACTTTTATCCTGACCTTGTGACCAAATATACCATTACCAAACCAACCTGGTGTGAGCAGCTTCTTGCAGAATCATAACATTTTGATGAGCAGACTCCTGAGAAGTCAACAATCTTCTGATCCTGAAAGCAATAAAACATTCCTTTGGTAATGCTTTGAATGGTTTAGGGTACTATGCAATTCTTATGCTATAATTTACAATAATAACTAAGTACCTTGTAAGCTATATAAGTATTAGCCAGGGATTTGTGTAGGTAATTTGTGTAGATTGTAGATTTGTGTGGCTTCAGGAAGGACAACCACTCAGATCTGTAGATTTCAGTCAGAGGAGCATTCAAATTCTTTTCATGCAAGCTGAACATCTCACTTAGCAAAGCATTTACAAATGTGCATACATCTGGAGATCGTAGGGGACATTTGGTGTGCTCTTCCGACTTCCGTAACTTGGAATCTCTAAAAAGATTGTTGTTTTACTCACCAAGAACTAAGAAGGAAGTAGTTCTAACTTCTGAGCCTTTTAAAATAAAAGCATAGGTTCTAATTATGCAGCAACTGATAAGGGAAATGAACAAGATTCTTTTTAGTTGGAGAAATTCAGTGATGACTATGTCCATGCTCAAGTTAAAGTTCAATTTATTAAAAAGCATTCTATGTGGTGTATTAAAGTCTGCTTTTCTGTCAATATATGAGCACAATATTGACAATGTAATATAATACTGCATAGTAAAAGGTATAGCTACAATACAAAGTGAAAAAAGGTATAGCTACAACAATACAAAGTGAAAAAACCATGCAAGTCAAAAAGTTAAAGCTCTAAGGTGCACAACCTCCTCCCTTGTATGGAACCCAGTAGTGGCAGGCGGCAGGTCGGCAGGTGGAATGCACGTGGCATGCAAAGACAAAGTCCAATAATTCCTTCTGGATCTGCCAGTGTGATGTTTCATATTGATACAGATAGCTAGGTACCTACCTATATAAATTGAGACGGGTTACACAACACATTCGGGTGAACCTATGCAGTGTCAACTACACCATCATGAGAGTTACAACCACATAATTGAAATGCACTTTATGACAGAACATACAGCACACAATGAACTACAAAGCATTAATTTTTAGCCACCCCTGAATATAAGGCTTACCTTATTATTACTGTGACATTTGTCGTAACCCAAGAAAGGGTTACCACACGGATGACAGGGATGACTCTCCCCAAAGATGGCAGCACCAAAAGATACCAGTATAGTTAAATTTTGATAAAATTTTAATAGCATGATGTCAACACTGGTAGATTTAGAGGCCAGTGGTTATCCCACACGTAAAATGCATATTAATCTTGCCCCACGTTCGATGTCTCTCGGACGGCGAAGATTCTACGTCGTCCGGCCAATCCCGTTCAAGGTCAGCGGGGGCTCGGCTGCGGTTATGGAACGTGATTGGCCGGGCGGCGTAGAATCTTCGCCGTCCGAGAGACATCGAACGCGGGGTTGATCTCAATCTTGATCTAGCCTTGACTGAGTATGCGTTTAGCACTTTTACTTGTTGATGGGTTAGGCCTAGCAGACAAAAGTGATCAGCGATTCATGTCTAAATGAATAGGCAATAATTACAAAATTAGTATGTTATCGGAAGACATCCAGCACTAATCAATAAGGCCAAAAATAACGATAAACCAAAATGAAAATGCCCCAGCGTGGGGGATTTCGGGCTCTGGTATTAACTGGATAATTCGCCAGCTGACGCCGTATGGTGGCGCTAGTGGAGCAGCACCATATGACGTCAGCACAAAACACCGTGAGCAGCTATGAAATGGGAGCGAGCACCACGGAAATATCGAAAGGTGATGGACATGTACTGACTTTGGTCATTCGAGTACCACCAACACCATACAAAAACCATATAATATCATCAAGACTGATTCTGGAATCGATTTGTCCGGGTATTTAAAACACACAAAAAATGTTTGTTACCGAATTCTGAAACAGTATAAGGATATTCTTGTTCCTTACTTTTACCTTGTGGAGTACTTTTACTTGCTTTCTAGTGCGCCCATCACTATCTTGAAATCTGGATTGCAACGCTGTAGGAAAACTTTTTTTCATTTGTCATTTCTTCCACTTTTGAGCAGTGATAATTTATTTGGTTTTATACATTAAATAATGAAGACGGCTCCTAACTTTTTAGGGATCTGCAGTGGCCCAGAGAGCAAAATCAGATATTTTCTAAAAACTTGAGGCCACTATTTCCTTAAATGCTAGAAAATATACAAATATTGACATTAAAAGAATGATACGGGTATATAATTCTGCAGAAATATAAATTCAAAGTATTTAAATTATTCAAGAACCTTTTTAAAATCTTCCATAATGACTTCTTTCAATACAAGCTGGATGCAATTTCAATCAATAAAGCAGCACAAGGCAGTACATTGAGCTACGATGATCCATAACCAATCGGCACCTGCAATTTGATTGATCTTCGAGATGTACCCTGCCCCTGTTCCCTGACTTTCCCTTTTCGTTGTACCGGGTGAAGTGAATATTCTGTGAATATTCTTCTGACAGTCAGTTTTTAGTCCTACATTATGTTGTCAATCAGATTTAATTGGTTCAAAAACCGTCGTAGTCCGTCTCATTCGCAGTCTACATCTCCACATGCGCACCCATACATGCCCAAAATTTTCACTACGTATGTACTATGTACCCTGCAGCGTATCCTGATGAAAAATGTTTTGTTGAAATCATAGACACTTCCCAAGGTAGGCCATAGTCCATGGCCATATATTTAAGTCAAAACAGATAAAACAGATAAACACAATTCCAATCATCAAGTCAACCAGCATCGACAATCTGCACATAAGTTCTAAACCTATTGTAAGACTACTTTGTATTCAAACTTTGTATTGCAGAAGGGTGGAAGCTGCATGGAATTATGCGACAATTTTAGCGTGCATCCACGCTCGAAAGAGCAGGGTTAATTGTAACAATGTCAATACCATAACAATAACGTAATTGTAGGTGTTGTGATTCGGTTGTTTCTTGTCTGTGCTGGCCATTGCGCGGGCGGTCCAGCGGCGGAACTCGGCTTCGCCGCCGTGGCGCGCTGGCAGTTGCTTCTTCTTCTTCTTCTGCATCCCATCGCCAACCCGCTCAGGGGGGCGGCGGCGCAGGCGGGTCGAGCGGCGGCTCGGTCCGCCCAACATCCTCGATGAAGGTGACGACCTTCGTCGCCGGGCCGCCGAGGACGTCGACCAGGCGAGGGTCGGCACCCGAGCGGCGGCGGCGGGCCGCCTCATAGGCCGGACAATCGGTCAGTAGGTGCGCCGCGCTGTCGGGCTCCCCGCACGCGGGGCATTCGTCGTCGGCTTCCGGGCCAATCTTGTGGAGCGTGTCACGGGTCAGCGGTGATGTGCCGGTCCTCAGCTGGGACAGCGTCACCGACCCCAGCGCGCCAGGGAGTCGTGGCCAGGCGTGGGGTCCGGGTGCGGGTGGGCAGCGGTTGCCCTCTGTCGCGACAGCTCCCGGACATGGCGCGTGACGGCGGCTCGCGCACTCGACAGGTCGATCGGTGCGCTGTCTTGGTCGCCCGCCGTGGCCTCGCCAGCCAGGCGGTCGGCGGTTTCGTTGCCGTCCAGCCCGGCATGGCCTGGCACCCACTGGAGCACCGTCTCGGTGCCGTTCTCGGCGAGGGTGCTCAGCACTCAGCAGCCTCCACACCTCGGCGGCCAGGGCCATGGTCTGGTTAGCTGGGCCGCGGCCGAGTAGTTGGAGCCCAGACCTTGAGTCGGTGAGGAGGCGGACCGACTTGGTCGATGCCAACTCCCCGTCCTCCAGGCCGGCCACAGCCGCGAACGCCTCGCGCATGGCGGTCAGTTCTGCTCTTAGGCTGGAGCAGACCGCCCCTGCAGGAGCGCGCACGGTCTCTTCTCTGTTGAGGTGGTGGAACTGGATCAGCGCCTGCGCCGCCCTGTTCCGTCCGCCGCGAGCCGAGCCGTCCGACCAGATAGTGACGTCCGGGTGCGGGAGCTCTGCAATGGCTCGCAGGGCAGCTTCCCTGCGGACTGCAGGCGGGTCCGACCGGCGGGTGGCCACGGGCAGGTCCACCCTGAAGGTGATGCCGCCGCGGTGGCCCAGCCATGGCGGGTCGCAGCTGTAGAACGCCGAACCTGTAACACAATAGAATTGCAATTGTAACAAAGACCTGCATGGTCAGCACACATCTGCAGTGACTGTCATCCCAAGTTGGTATGAATTGGCACAAAGTTGGGTCATGGTAGCAGACGTAGCACAAGCTGTTGTGATATGCCATACCGTAGGACTAGGTCGTAGGTTGTAAATTTTAGGTTTAAGGCTGTAGGTTGTAGGTCAGGTTAGGTAAGGTTTGGTTAGAAAGACCCATTCTCGTGCATCGGGCAGCTTGTGCTACATCTACCTGACCAATACCCAATTTGGATTCCCAAAATTGATGGCAAACAGGCTTTTTGTATAACAAGTGTGGTTAATTGTTCTAATCCCCGCTGCAATGTGAGGGTAACTGCTTTTCTACAATCACAAAATTTGAATTCATATAGGTAGGTGTTTACATGTTCAGAAAATGATACAAAATATGACACAATTAATTATAGCTGCAACTGGATAGTGGATACCAACCTCAACTGAAAGTTTCTGCAGCCTTATAACCTAACAAATGACTAAATTGCCAAAATAAATCCCTTAGTACAATAGCTTGACTCTAAAATAACAGAAATTTTGCATGCAGACCCTGAAATGGAGGGTTTATGAAAAGTAACAAAAATAAACATTCACTAATATCAATTTTTTTTATGTTGTTATAAATTTCATATGTAGCATAAGCGCCAATACTGCCTTCATTTACAATGTTGCTACTGTTTTCCACTCACAAACGCTGCCCTCCGTGGACAGCAGCAGCAGCAGTGAAACGTCACCCGTGGTGTGACATCATCACCCATGACGTAATGGAAATCCAGTTGTTACCAAGGCCCGGGATTTCCCGGATTTGTTTACTTTTTGCGGATGTCCCTTGTGCGCCGTTAATGGAACATTTTAAGAGAATTATTTTACTGCTACCCAAGGCCTGCTACCCAACTGCTACCTATGACGTAAAGGAATCTTGCAAAAGAACCGCACTGGAGCAGTGGTCTGCAGCAGTTGGATTTCCCATGACAGAAGGGAGTTCATGGGTATCAAGAGCACCATCACCAAGCACGTCTCAGAGAAATGTTCCCGGCAAAGCAGGCACCCTCAACTTTTTCACTGGCATAGCAGGCATGACGGGGAGTGATCGTGGATGGGCATGTCGTGTGACAGCTTTGCAGTGTGCGCTGGTCACTTTCAGGGGCTCAACTGCGGTCGCATCGCAGGTGGGGGAGGGGATGTCCAACCCTAAAACGCACGCCTTTATGCATAAGGCTACATCACGAAAGTCAAATCCGGCCCCCGTGGCCGTGACCACACCGGTGCGGTGGAGCCCGTGGTCACTTTCATTGTAATAAGTAAGACAATGAGGAATGGTAGCCTGTACGCTTGTAGTGCAGGGGAACGGAACGTGCAGCTGCGATACATGCTTTTTAACCCGCGCCCCACTGGGGGGGGGGGCTATTTATAGCCCCCCTCCCGTTTTTCTGCAATAGCTTCCAAACCGCTTGACGTATCGACGCCAAACTTTCAGTACCTTCGGCTGCATCAATTCGACACCTTGTGTCAGAATTTGAGCTTCATACCTACCATAGGTCGGCCGGCAATGACGTCAGAGTGACATCATGTTCGGCCGATTTCGACGCAAAACATTGAACAACGGCAATCGCTCCCAAGAGCTCAGTTTTTAAGCTAGATCCAATTTCTTTGCATGAGAGGACTCAGAATAGACTGCGCTATCAAACTGCTATCCCGAATTCTCGAAATTTTGAAAATTTCGAGAAAAAAAAATATAGTGAAGTTCAGAATTTATGTTTTTACATTTTTTCCAAAAAGTTTTTGTATTTTCGAAAAAACCGGAATATATGTGATAGAACGCATTATTATGACTAACTCTAGCAAGTTTAAGCTAAATATCTTCAAAAATGGCCAAGTTATACGCATTATTGCAAAAAAAAAATTCACCATTATTAATTTTTCAAATCAATTTTTCAGCACGTATTTGAAATCGTACGCCTATATAAATAGCACCATCGTGTTCCTGAGCTCAAACTGCATCCAATAGACACCTTTTTTGTTGAAAAATTTTAACTTTAAAATTTGACCTTAAAGTGACCTGACCTAAGCTAAATTTGACTCAAAATGACCTCGAATGACACAGACGACATCAAATTCGAAATTTTTGGCCTAAATGGACCATAAAACATGTGTCACGTGACCGACGCATGATATAATATTTTCGTAACCTGTGATGACCTGACCTTGACCTGAAAACCAAAGTA